TTTTTTAGTCAATTTTTACTTTTATTTAGGTTAGGTTATTAATTTAGTGGTGAATAGTTGTGCCTCATATTTTCTTGAGTGCTGTTAACCTATTTAAGAGTTTTATTGTGTTTGAGAGCATTTGAAAGTGATCGGATTAGAAAATGAGGCAAAAAAATATAAAATCGGGTGAGGCACCCTCAAAGGATACCACAAGTCATGATACGAATTGTCGCATGTTAACTTTTGGGACATTATTTTATGTATTTATATTTTTTATGATTTTTGTGCCTATACTAAATTAATCTTTTACGTGCGAAAATAAACAAAATCAAATTACGTTAAATCTTATCCAATATATGATTTATTTTATACTAAGCTTATACTTTTTTTCCTTTTTTTCTTTCTTAACCATATATAATATGGATGATTCCCAAACGCGTCATTCCTTATGTAAAATCATCGTCACCATAATGAACAACTTGGATTATAAATTATTAGGTAGCATTTATCAGTCAACTTTCTCATATAGCTAAATACGACAAAGAAAAAGCACCAGGACAATATTATCTTTGTTTTTTATTGCTGCTCACTAAAAAAAGTCTTGTAAATGATTGATTTCCTTTGAATCAATGGCTGATTTGTTGTCTTTTATAAATTTAGTGGACAATTGAAATTTAAGGATTGTTATGTTTTCTGATGTTGTCTTGCAGGAGTAGACTATGCAGAAAGGTTTGACAATTTGCTATATATTTCTCTTTTGAGGTTTGATAATATTTCCACTGTAAAATGAAGAAAATGACTTGCCTGCATAGATTGTGATTGGATTTTTATATATTAAAATATGTTGATTTGGACAGAGAAATTCCTTTGACTTTACAGGCGTAAGGAACAGTTTATATGTTGATATTGGTAGTTGTGATTATGGAGGGTGATCGAATGAATAATGGCAAAAAAGTATAGCAAAAGGGGGAGCAATGATTGTGTGCGAGACGACACGGAATTTTATGTTAAAAGATGAATTTTTAAAATTTTAAGAGATAGTGAATTTATAAAATTTAAAGGAACGAAATAGATTATCAATAAAAATATAAAGAAAAGTTTTGAAATATATGATAATTTGAACTTTTTAGGAGATGAATCGACTGCCTCCAACTTCTTTTCGATCCATCCCTGACGACTGCCAATTTAAAGCCTAAGATGATTATAATATTTTTTTATATATATCGAGTAAGTTTCTCAAAAACAAAAGCTAACCAAAATGATCATAATGAAATTATGAAAATGGATGTAATATAAGTTTTAAAAATTCGATGAATAAAATGAAAAAAAAACTCTAAAACTTCAGTGACTATTAGTGTAGTTTACTCAAAACTTAATTGGATGCAAATTGTCGAGGGTTTTTTTGCTAAATTATTTATTTAGTATACAAACTATCGGTTTTGATCCATTTTAGTACCTAAATTCTCATTTTTTTTTCAAAATCATACCTAACGTTTAGTTTTAATTTCAATTTAGTAACTTGCCGTTGAAAACTTAACACGTTTAGTACTTGAACTATCAGCTTTAGTCCGTTTTAGTACCTAAAATTTCAATTTTTTCAAAACATAATGTTAAATTTTGAACGGGTTACTAAAATGAAACAAAAAATAAACTTTAGGTACGATTTTGAAAAAAATTGAAAGTTATATACTAAAATATACCAAAATTAATAGTTTAAGTACTAAATGTGTAATTTACAAGTATGAAGAATGTGTAAGGGTAGACACCTTTATTTAACTCTAAGGAACGAGAGCGCAACCAAAAATGTTGTAAAAAAACATAACATTTTTCGTTAGACACAACCTAAAATGTCAACTTTTTAAAATATTTTCCAATTGCACACCTTCTTCATAACATTTTAGGTTGACAACAAAAAATGCTACCTCCATAATATTTCCAATTCAATCGAAAATGTTAAAAAGCTTAACATTTTCAATTGCGTCCCTTCCATGTTTTTCTTTAACCTTAAATTGAGCTGTCATCCCTCAAACACTTATTCAAACAAACGAGAAACAAGTCTGGTGCTATTAGTAGTGATAGTATGTAGTATATTCTGATTCGTCTGGTTGTATGTATTTTTTTTTTCTTTCATTTAAAATTAAGGAGGTTTTTAATGAGCTAAGCATACAATCTTGAATAGCATTGTTCGATTTTTAATAAAATAATCTCACCAAAACAAAGGGCAAAATGCAGGAAAAATAGCAAACATGTTAAAAACTTATAACACTTTTAAAGCCGATAGATAGTATGAGAAATAAATCTTAAAACTAAAATGATACATGAAAAACTTATAAAAAAAAGTAAAAAAAAATATCCCATCAACACGTAAAACATAGATTTGAAATATTGCGTCAATATGCAACTGTGATGATGAAAATTCCGAAACACTGAAGACCGTATATATTACGTAATTAACTTGGACCGGTATGAAGGAAATGTTTAGAGCAAATTTGAAAGGAGTTCAAGAAGATTTCTTTCCTGCAGCAGCCTTCCTGCAATGCTTTCTATTGTACATCCACTATGAGAGCCTCCTTGGTAGTAGGGTCCTTTGAAGTCGGCAAAACATCAAAATTCAACCATTTTAGAGATAATTCACGTTTAACAATTCGGTTGACTTCTCGGACATAAAATTTAGCTTTATTCGACATAAGAACGTATCCAAGAGGTTTTTGAACTTAGAACATAGTTTGTTGTGGCCTCAATTTGGAATATTGTTAAACACGACAAAAGTATCTTGCAATATATTATTTACGAGGTATAATACAAGTATACAACCACACTTTGTATGAACCAAGTGATTTTCGTGGTAAAGAATTGTTATTATTCTTTGAAAATCCAGGTTCGAACACCGAGAATATTAAAGGTGTGAGTGTCCAATGTCAAGAGATTTAAAGTTATTTTTATACAAAGATATTGTCTTATAATTAATAAAAAAAACTCACTTATTTTTTTCCCACATCAAGAATATGTCCGACGATATTTTAAACTGAATCTTATAAGATAATATCTTATGGCAACATGCAAATGAAAACTCTTACCGTATTCCCAGTTTCTTTTTTCATTTGGGTTAGTTCTTGTATGTCAGTTTGTGTTCAGATCTAAGATTCGATAAGGAGTTTAAAGGGAACGTGGAGCAGGCGGTAGGTTTATGTAATAATTAGCCCATACTCTCAGATTCCCACATTTATTCCTTTTAATCCCCATGCATGTGCTGTTGTCAAAGATAGTTTATACACTTTCTGGACCTCACATGACAAGAAAAATAGATTGAATATTCTAAAACTTCATTTTTCTTGATGTAGGTTACAATGAAGGCTTAAACCGTGTGGGGTCCTTTTTACTGCATGTTTGAAGGGGCAATGCTCTCAAATTTAGTAAGGCTATGTTTTCCTATCCTTTTGACACTCGGATAATCTCAACAAACAACCTGTTTTCCCCATTTTTCTCTGTTCTTTTTCATCAGTCAAATTTCAAAAGGTGTCTCCTTTTTGAAACATCAGTCAGACCAAAATACCCTTCTCCCCCATTACAGCTAAAAAGCTTTCATCTTCCTTTTATACTTCCAACTATGGTACTTGTGCTTCTCAAAACTACTTAACCAACAAAGAAGAAAGTTAAAAACTTTGGCAAAAGGTTTAACTTTTATGTTTGTTTTCTTTCTTATAATCATGGATGATGGATGCTTATTCATCATCTAACAAGTTGTGCATTAGATTAGAGTTTTGTTATGATTTAAAGTTAAATTATTGACTGAAAAGACCCCCACATGAATCAAAGAAATGACACAAAAATCTATAATCGAATATGATGATGTTAGCTTCAAAATTTAGTCTTTCTTAACAGTATGGTGCATGATATAATGTATATATATATAATATCCATAACTTTTAAAAGAAATTTACAGAAGACTTTGACATTTGCAACAACTATTGCGTCGGGGTTACATTATTTGACTATACTTTGAAGACTGAAGCTGACATCTTCAAATCGACTGGAATAAGGATTTTCAAAGGCTTTTCTTTAATCAAATGTTGATTAACTACCCCAAATACCAAAGAGATAAGGCTAAAAAGGATAAAATTTAATAATGATAAGAATATAGGTCTGGTGGAGGATTTATTTGGTTGTGAGAGGGTATTCTGGTCTTTCTAGTGGTACACCAGATTGAATCTGGAAGATGGTTGGATGAAATGAAATGTGATTCATGTCTTAGGTAAGTAAATCTGTCATTTTATCAGTGTCAGTTATGTAATTTCAGCAGTGAAGGTAACAAAGTTGTATTATAAAGTTGAAGATTGACGCACCTTGGTGGTTGGGAAGTTTACACTTGACTCTCCTTTCAGATCTTTTGTTCTTCGAACCCCAAAGTGATTACAAAAATTCTTAAGTTGGAAGGGGAATCAAAACAAGGTATGGGAAGAAAATATTTCATTGAAATGGACTAGGGTCTTTGTTTTTCTTTGATTTTTTTTGTATATTGGGGTTTATTTGAGAGTTTCTTGCCTTGTTTTTGAGTGTTTTGTGCTTCTTCTGCATGATGCAATTGATTTATTTCTGGTCTGAAATGAACTTGTTTTGCTGATATACTTACAGTGTAAAAGGTATAATCTTTATGTTCATGCATGTTTGAAATTAGTTAACCTGTCATCTTTAAACCCTGTTTTATCATGTTCTGTAAAAGATTTGACCATTGCTCTTACAGATTCTGAGGTTATCCTTGAATATGAAATCCCATCTCTTAAGAAAATGTAAAACATTTTCATAGCTTCATCGTATACGATGAATGTTTGTTGTTGTTGTTGTTTTCCTTTTATTGCAGCAAGCCTTATCGTTCTTTTAATTTCAGAAAGAACTTTCTATTTTAGTGACTGATACCAGATTCTGCAATTTTTTACAGTGTTCTACTGAAAAAACCTTGGTTGCATAAATCTATGATATGATTTCCAGTCTTTTGAATGAATAAACTGCTTATATAAACCTTTTTTTCCAGGTAAATGACTTTCTGATTTCATTGATACAGCTTTTTTCACGGACTTAATTAGGTGTTGGCTGCGAAAATGAATTCCCTTTGTGATGGAATCGCATTCTTTGTTCGTCTTGTTAATCTTTTCATGTATGATCTATGTAGGGTCTTTCGTGTTTTATGTATGTACCATATAAAGGTCATCACCATTTATCGGATAAAGAAGATTCGATAGACCTCCTGTGTTCCTTCCCCTTTGCTTTATTGTGCATCATTTTCATTGTTTGATTTCTGCCGATATAAATGAAAAGCCGGTGTTACTTTTTCGGATCGGTATCTGTTCTTTTTCCATCATAAAATACAGCTAAAGTTTTTGTCAATTGTCTATGCAGAATACGTCAGGTTCAGCTCATTATGTGTATATTCATGCCAAGCAGCAGTTCTGGCTGGGTGATTTAACTTATTCGTTGTAACGGTGCTGTCAGTTAAATTCGAAGGCGCTTTGATTAGAAAGGTTTTGCCGTGTTTCTCTCCATTGTTGTCTGTCGATCCATAGTTTCTACTTAAAGAATCTTCTCCGATGCAAATGTCTCAGAAACCTAAAATTACAGGTACGTACTTCGATCAGCCAGTCAAAGAGTTGGAGTCCTATTGTTTGCCTTCCAACCAAAGCTTAGATCAGTACCAATCTGGCTCTGATGACGGCAGCAATGGTGTGCAACAATCGATCCATAATCCAGATCAATACTGCACCCTTGATTCGTCATCCGGTATGCAGAACTCTTCTTCGACCGCCAGTTTCTCACCCGATGGAAGCCCTGTTTCGCTGCAAAACTACTCGTACCCATCAGACCATCATTCCCCAGAATATACATGGGGTTCACCAATAAGTGGTTCTCGTGTAATAGACAATGAAAATGACTTGGGGCACATGATAAGACAATTGGAAACTGCTATGCTAGGCTCCGATTTAGATAATTCTGACCTTCATTCAATTGCCGCTTCCGGCAGAGCCACTGAAGTGTCTACAGAAGAGGAGAAGTGGAAATACATGATGGAAATGATCGCCAGAGGAGACCTTAAAGAACTGCTCTGTGCTTGTGCCAAAACTATAGAAAAAAAAGATATGTATATGGCCGACTGTTTGATTACGCAATTGCATCAAATGGTGTCGGTTTCGGGTGAACCAATGCAACGTCTAGGAGCCTACATGGTGGAAGGTCTTGTTGCAAGGTTGGCTTCATCAGGAAGTTCTATCTACAACGCCCTCAGATGTAAAGAGCCTGCCGGTGCCGAACTGCTTTCATACATGCACATCCTCTATGAAATCTGCCCGTATTTCAAGTTCGGCTATATGTCGGCAAACGGGGCAATTGCTGAAGCTATGAAAGAAGAAAGTCGAGTCCATATAATTGATTTTCATATTGCCCAAGGAAGCCAATGGTTGACTCTAATCCATGCCCTTGCCTCTCGGCCTGGAGGACCACCAAGAATCTGTATAACCGGCATTGATGACCCTACATCATCTTTTGCCAGAGGGGGAGGACTTGAAATAGTGGGGCAGCGACTACACAAGCTTGCCGAGTCATGTAAGGTACCATTTGAGTTCCATGCTGCTGTTATTTCTGGTACTGAGGTTCAACTTGAAAACCTCAGGATTCAACCCGGTGAAGCCATTGCTGTAAATTTTGCCATGATGCTGCATCACATGCCAGATGAAAGTGTGGGCACCGAGAACCATCGAGACAGACTGCTGAGGTTGGTGAAGAGTTTGTCCCCGAAGGTGGTGACCCTTGTTGAGCAAGAAGCGAATACAAACACCGCCCCATTCCTTCCCCGTTTCATGGAGACAATGGATCATTATCTGGCTATCTTCGAATCAATCGATGTTAGCCTGCCAAGGGAACACAAGGAGCGGATCAGCACCGAACAACACTGTCTGGCCCGGGAGATCGTCAACATTATAGCATGCGAAGGGCCTGAAAGAGTAGAACGTCATGAACTTCTAGGCAAATGGAGATCAAGGTTTATCATGGCTGGCTTTACACCCTCTCCATTAAGCTCATTCGTCAACAACACCATCAAAACTCTGCTGCAAAGCTATTGTGATAAGTATACACTCGAAGAGAGAGATGGTGTCCTTTATCTCGGCTGGATGAATCGTGCTATTGTCACCTCCTGTGCATGGAGATGTTAACCGATCAATAACTATTTTGACACGGCAAAAACACGAGATTAGAGCTTATTTGGTAATAATGTCATTCCCAGAGATGCAATGTAAACAAGGTGTTTCTAGAATTAAATGGTAGTGATTAATTTCTAGTGGTTAACTGTTGCAGCTTGTCTTGCTTACGCGTTTTCCCCTGTAATGTTCACATTTCAAGTCATGAGTATGTTTTTTTATAATGGATATGATGCTAGCCGGTCCATTTGCCTGAAAACGTTCACATTTCATAGTGTACCAATCAAACATTCTTAAGATATGATAGAAAATAAATATTTCTTACAAATTCCATTACAAGAACTTGTTTTACAAACACTTCACTGAGAAAATAAAATTGTATGCGTTCCACTTTAGTACAAACTCCCAAGTTTAATACATGTAGTGATTGGCAACATAACATGATAAGCTGAAATGGTAAACTAATACATATATACATACATATATGCATATGTATACAGTAGGAAAAATCTAGATTTTCATAAGACAATTCTAAACTTTTCTTCTACCAGTGAAAAAGATGGGAAAAAACTGAAATGTGGTCTATATTTTTTTTATTCAGTCACCCTCATTGTTAACAGATTTATGGACCTGTTAGTATTCTTCCCATGCTCTGTGGCAATGCATAAGAATGGTTTAGGGGTGCAATTTCAACACCGCGGCCTTCACTCGGATTTTCTCGAGATCCATACTGATTCATGCCGCCATAGTATGTTGCCAGAGGAGTGGGTTGAACCGTGTTGAAACCATTCTGATGGCGGTATTGGGACAGTTCGGAATGCAATCGTTGATGCTCATTCGAAGTATGTTCAGGAACGGAATTAATCCCAACACCAAGATCAAGGCTAATGGCACCATTTTCTTCTGATCTAATCCTTGATGGTCCTGCTGTATCATGACTACTGGTCTTTGCGGTAGGCACATCGTGATTGTGTTTTCCCTCGTAAGTGGTTATAACAGCTTTTGGATCATGAGATGCCCTCTCAACGTGTTTTCTAACAGGGCAACCGGCATTCGTGCACTTATAATAACTCCTACATGAAAAGAAAGCAGAAAATATAACATCGTATGATGTAAGAAACCATAATAAAATAAAATAATAAAAAGCTATGGTCAAGAATAGTCATGAACAAACGACTCTCGAATATGAGCCTTGAAATCAGCATGCAATGAAACCATATACAAAACAAAAATTATACAAACAATGCTCCAGATAAACTGAACAAAAGATCCTAAAGATAATCGATTATCATGTCTAATTTATGACAAAGCATGAAAGCTAACATGCTTCAATTGGTGTTCTATGCCGGTAAGCCACAAATATAGTGGTTTAAGAAGATGTATATCGACACAGACAAGCTTCTTAAACGATCTGAATTGCAATAAATAACATTCTATTTCTATAATCATCGATTTAATGATACATACCTAGGATTAGGATTTCCTCTCACTACTTTTTGCCCATATTTGCGCCACCGATACCCATCATCCAGTATATCAACTTCACTCACAGTCTGAACAACAATGCGTGGTTCCCGGATTGGCTTCACCACAGGAGTGATATCAATCCCACTGTCCATCTTCCTGCTTGTAGTTTGCTAGTATCATTAGCAACTAGATAAATCCACAAAATAGAAACATAAAAGCTTCTATTGACCAATAACAAAATAGCAATACCTCCGTTTCGAGAATGGATCATCGTCTTCAACCTCATCTAAATTATCATCGTTAGCTGTGACAGGAGATAGATCTGTAGTACTATTTGGCTCAATACTATGAGCTATCTGGCCAAAACCACAGGATGGCTTGTCTAAAATGGAGAAAAAGAAAAGATTAACTCATGCGTTTAAAAAAAGGCACTCGACAGATAAAAAACTGGATGTATAGTTTTTTCCCCCTTACCATCTCTATCATTCAAAGATGAGACCTTGTCAGATCTTTCTTCTTGGCCGGACATGATATTACCAGAAGAATATCGGCGGCCAGGCTGAGGTTTAGGGTGATCATGTGTACCTTTGTATATTATCTCAGTAATCTGTCCATCATGAGATTGCTCGAATAGCTTTTTTACTTCGCAATTAGGATGTGTACATTTGTAATAACTGCGAGGAAATTCGCATCCTTTCACATGTTTCTGTCCATACTTCCTCCAGTTGTATCCATCATCGGATGACGCATGGCCAACTACTCTATGATTAGACTGCCCTGGTGGCACCCCACTATTCGGATTACCTAACTGGTTTAATTCATCTCCGTCAACTTCAGCAGGAGTACTAGCCATGGAAGTAGCAATATTAACAGGTACTGAAAGGCTCAATTCATTTGAGGCTACCATCTCACTCTTAACTGAAGCAGATGAATTGAACAATATAGGCTGGTATTGAATTTGGATCGGCCGAGATTGCTCACTTCTCCAACAGTCTAAATCTGCAGGAGCCTTGAATAAGAAGGAAAAAAAACAATTGTACATTAGCACCACTAACCACATAACAATGAAGGGGGGGCGGTAAAAGAAAATCGTATCTAAATTTCGATCAACATTTATCAGGAAATTACCATGTTTGATCGAGGATGGGGTCTAAACTCAAAGGAGCTTGAATTTCTTTCATCAAAAGCATTAGAACACGCAGCAGTCACTGAATATGTACTATAAGCAACAGAGGCATGTACCGCTTGAGGCTTAAAGAGAGAACCGGTAGTCGGTGAAGGCTCCGCCTTGAAGAACAAGAAGCAAAAACAAGTTACTTGGCACAGCTATTATCAGCATGAATTAAGTATATAAAGCTCAAATCAGCCAGTGATCAAATTACTAAAAAAACTAATTGCATCATGTTTATTTAGTGCCAAACATAAAATAAACAAAGGGAGAGAACAGATGCGGCAAGGTTCCAGAACAATATCATTCATATATTTTTCCAGTAAACCCTACACTCGATGCAAAAAAACAAGTCCGTTCAATCTCAAGCTCAACTTCTAAAGCTTCACTACCCAACACGTATCATGAATTCAACTCTATACAATGCCATACCCTCCATTAGATCTCTTCTCTTAACCTTGACCCACCAATTTTCTATTTTTTTCCACCCTTTCTCCCACCGCCTCGATGCACCACACATTAAACAAACCTCCGCCTTTCCATATAAAAATCAAATGATCACCTTTTATGAAGCATCAATCCATCGATCCACTCCACCTCACCCCAAGCATCTATTCCACATAATGCATTACACAAAATGGAAAAGGTCTCTAGTATGTATATAAAGAAGCCACAAATCCTACAATCAAAGGACGGTTCAACCTAGATTTTTTATACTAACAACAAAACAATAAAAAATGGAGAAACCTTATTCTTCCCACAACATAGAAATCAATGGGCACTGAGGAGCTTTATTTTCATAATTTGTCTAATAATTTCTTTTAGCTGTAAGGCCTCCAACATCATGAACCACTTCAAATATAAAATCAAGCATTTAAAGAACCCAAAAATGAAAGCAAACAAATATCGTAAACTCATTACTTTTCCGTCTTAAGCACATCTTTAGCTGAAAATTAGTTCCAATCAGATCATTCCCAAACCAAAGAAAAATTCTCCACTAAAAGCTACTGTCAATAAATGAAACAAATTAAAAAACTTTGAATCTAAAACTGTTGAATTCCTCAATCAACTAAAAAATCATGGGTTTTTCTCAACAAGAGAAAGAAACCAATTTAACCGGTGAATTTTCAAAAAGTAACCAACTTTTTTATTTTCCTCTATTTTCTAGGTAAACAAACAAAACCACAAACCAATACAGCCCCAGAAACAAAAATAAAAAAACAGCTCTAACCTTAACATCTGAAAGCAGAACAGGAGACTCCAAGAAAGAAGAAGGACTAAGCCCAGGAGGGATCGTAATACAAGCCGACCTTGAGATCGGTAGCTTAGCTGGAGCCACAAGCTTGTACCGAGCTCCACCTGAACCACCCGGGCCCGATGGATCGTGCTGAGTGGTACCCGCATCAACAGCCGAAGAGGAGGAAGAAGAAGTTAATATTTGCTCCTCCATTTTACAATATACCAAAGGAAACCCAAAAAAAAAAAGACAAGACAGTGAAGAGAGTCAGACTGGAGTTGACCTTTTATGTCCTGCAAGAAAAATAAGGGAGGGTTACATTAGTAAATTAAGTTAAAAAATATTAAACGTTTAATTCACGAAAAATAAGATTATCGGTGGGAATAAAAGAATATCATGGAATAGAATTACTGAGAATGTTGTATTGTATTTTATTGATTTAGCAGGAATGTAAGATTACCATGTTTGGATAAAATAATAAAATATTATTAAAATATATATTTTGATTAAATTATCTTTATTATATATTTATTTTTTTAACAAGTGAATTTTACTGTAATATTACTATAAGATATTTATATATTTTCTTTAAAAAATTTAAATTCTTAAAATTTATAAATTTTTTTTACAAAATTAAAAATATAAAAAAATTTAATGAAAGGGTAAAATTTTATTTTAACCCCTTAACTTTATATAAAATTTTAATTATAGATTTATTTTGTAAATCTAAAATAGTATAAGGTAAATTTGTAATTTAACATTCGTTGAATTTTTATTATTCAATGACAGAATATGAATATTTTTTTAAAAAAAATTAAGAACATTTTAGTCCAAAACGTCGATAATCCAACAATATCTAAGAGAATGAATAATGACATTTCCAATAATATACCTCATAAAAATCCCCTATTAATAATAAAATATTACCGGTAATGACATTTTCGACTAACCAAACGAAAAAATATGGATTCTATTCCTGAAGAATTTCATATCCCCACCTAAATGCCCCTTAAATTCTAAAAAATTTGAAACTTTTTGGAGTGAGTTTTACTGTTTTAATGTGTTGGAGAAGGCTATCAGAAGAGATTGACCGTCTTTAACTTGTACACTGGATCTGGGTCAGGGGCTTGTGTCATTCCTTGCCTTATCAATATTTTTTTCTTTTTTCTCGAATTTAAATTTTATTTTTAAGCTTTCAACAATGGTTTTGAAAGGTGGTTAAAATTTCAAAAGGTGACCCATTTTGTCATAGCAATCATTGGTGTTATCTACAAAGATCATACCTTTATTTGCTTTCTCCATCTCTATTTTTTAATTTTTATTCATTAAAAGGCAAAACCTTTTACTTCACAAATACTCTTTCATTTATGCACAGTAAAAATAGGGAAGGAATTTGATGCTTCAAGAATGGTGGATCTCGGAAAACTAACTTTGGGGTTACATTAAAATTTTCAGAAAATTCTAAATTTTAACTAAAATTTTTAAAACAATAAGATAATCAATGAGAATTTAATAAATAAATGAGTATCTAATTACATTTTTAAGGGGTTGAAAATATTTTTTAAAAACTTTGGGGCAAATGCCTTATGTCTTAATTATGGTCTATTTATTGTCTCAAGGTTCAACATTTAAATTTCAAAGAGATTCATCTCTTATTCAAAATTTAATTTTAGATATAATCAAGATTCATATAACTATTATATTAGATATTGTAATTTTATACTATAAATAAATAAAGAAAAATATCTAACAAAGATCCTTACTTTTTTCCCCGAGCTCATAATGTGAAAACCATCCATTGATAATTAAAGCAAACAAATTTGAGCTTGAAAACCTCATTTACATTTAAAAGACAAGTTAAAGTTACATGAATTAGGCTCTTAAGATAATTCACAAGCAAAGATATTACAACTTTTCAATTATAACCCGAAGTCCAAAAAATGAAAATCCATGTCAACACACATTTCTTCTTTACCTTAAATTAACGTAAACTTCTTGTTTGTATGCATGCAATAAATAAGCCATTGCTATAAACATTATAACGGACAGGTGATGATATGATTATGGGATCAAAGCAGGAATTTACTGACATTATCCAGAAAAAGGTTAAAAAATGAGCATTATGAGTACTAACAAACTTTTTTTCTGGAAAAAAGAAGTTATGGAATTTGAGCATTAATGATTTTGAGCTTGAAACCAGACAAAGGGATTTGAATACACAAGCAATTATATATGTACATATAAAGGTAAAGCTGGTGCTCAGGTTCAAGCCAATTTTGTGAGATGTTGAAATTCAAGCATTGGGTACTTTCAGAAGCAATGTGGCTAAAAATGGATACTACAGAAACAGATCTGTGCTAATTCTCTTTATGTATTTGTATTTAAAATGTTCAACTAAAAACTACAGCAATCTAGCTAGATAAACAATGTGTTGGACATAAATGGCAAAGGGAAACAGGGAAGGCTCCAGTGTAGAGCTAGTGTTCCCTATCATTGAACTGTTGTATGCAAAGCAAGTTTCATAAATGAATAATCATGCAACTGTGTATCTGCATCTCAGAGACTACCGTCGAGCAACAACGGATAGTAATAAATAATGATACCATGGAAAGGAACATTAAATTTACAGCTTTAATAATTGAACCCTTCCTTTGATGATTCCGGTTCCTGTTGGCATCGACATTAATCACTTAGAATTAATAACTTAGAATTAATAACTTAGAACTATACGTAGCCTGCTATCTTTAACCCCAAGATGAGCAAATAACCAGCTACCAGACATTTACAATATTAACTGCTATAGGTTAGTCATTAAATACAAGATCTATAGTCATAAATTTTACAGAATATTAAGGTCAAACTCCATGGACAAAGCAGAAAAATCATTTTGAAAACTGCTATAGGAGAATATGACAGAGAACTGCTATGGGATAAGATGGAATGGCCTATATTGAAAATTAATGGCATCTCATAAAATATATCGTTTACATAAATCTTCAGGATTCAGGTCAATTAAATAAATTATCAATTACTAAGCCTAGTTTCTGCCATAAAAAATGCAGAAGTGGCCAACAACCAGTGCATTGATGCCTTAGCATCCAAAAGCATACCACAGGCAAAAACAAAGCTGAGCTACTGTGGATGGTATTGTGGTGGTAAACCATATGCACCGTTAAAAGGCTGCTGGCCATAAGAATATGGATGGGATGCAGCAGGATTTGGAGTCGTGGAGAAACCTAAAAGGGCTCCTGCCAAACCAAATAGAGCAGTAGCTGATGAGCTTAAATATGGATTAACAGCAGGAGTAGGGCCTGCCAAGCCATAAGGACCAGTTAGCGAGCTCAAATATGCAGCAGGCTGATCTGGAAATAAACCTGCTGGCTGAAGATGAGATTGCCGGAAAGGCAAAACCACAGAACTTGAACCAGCCACGCCAAATGAGGTTACCATAGGGGAAACAGTTGTAGTTGTCTTAGGACGCTTGTTGCCGGTCTGCTGCTGCTTCCCCTGCAACTTCTTCTTCTTCTTCTTTTCCTGCTGACTGGCTGACTCAATAGCCTGCTGCTGTTTAGACCAAGCAGCAGTAAGTTTTGCAGTGCGTTTCCTGTCTGCCAGCTGCATCTCAAGCTGCTCAAGACGATCCTGAAGGCACTCCTGTGGATATTCAGCTTCCAGCCTGCAATCTTTAATTACTTTAATTACAGATTTCAAGACACCGATTTCTTTTTCTGCTGCCACGTTCTGCATGAGAAACATAATTCATTTTTTTAAAAATGATTCAAAACTATAGTATCATACCCTGAAAAGTTTGCAGGAAACAGATATTTACCAGTGACCTATAAGAGTTCTTTCCATCAACGCAAACTTGCTCAGCAAGCTTCTTTGTCTCCTTCAGATAGTTGTCCAAAAGAGGCACTGGTGGGAATTTTTCAGCAAGCCCAAACTCAAATATAAATCTCACTGCAAGATGTTGCTTACCATTATCTACCAGCTTTTGAATCAAATCTGCAACATATAAGAAAGACGGCGCTGTTTTATCAGAAGCTACATCTAAAACAATAAGATTGATAAATATAGGCATGAGGGAGAGAATTCTAAATCAAAAATGGGGCAGAAAATTATATAAATTCTCTGCTCAAAGTATATGATTAATGACCCAGAATTACAGCTTGAACTAGTCATTTAAATGAGAAAATAAAATCCACTGCATTGCATGTCAAACATTGATTTGATGCGACAAAAAGAAACCCCCCCAAAAAAAAATGCTTTAGTTACTTCCCTCTTAATCCAAGAAAGAAGTTTTTGTCTTTTGGAAATAGCATTACTTGTGTGTTTCAGTTGCTTCATACCAATGACAGTCAAGGTGAGTCTCCTAACTGAACTTTCTTCTTCAAAATAAGATAAATTGTCCCTTTTCATATAGGGGAAAAAGTATCTTATTTTCCGAGGCATATAACACAAGCATAACAACTTAACAACAAATCATAAAATTCCCAGTACCTCCAGCATTCAATAACGTCAAATTAAAGGGTGGTATATATGCTCCCAATACGACGCAGAATTAGACAATTGAAACTCGTCTGACCATTCACTGATATGCAGCAAACTATGTCATAACTTCAAACGAAAGTAATAGTTGGAAAAGGAAGCATAAACTATAAACACCAACCATAAAATCAAATAAACCTTAATGAACTTAACAAGAATCGAATTCTACTAAGACGCCAATAGCATCACTATGAATCAAATACCTTAAGCAGCTACACCTCTTGACATAGAAATCCATACATGAAAGAAATTCAAATGCACATATAACATAGGTAATCATTGTAAGAATTGCATTTAGTCAAGGAAACATGAACATCACCATAAACTTTCTCCCCTAAACCAATTGACCTACACAACATTACAGCTTTCCGGCATCCAGCAGCGACGAAAAAATGTCCCACGAGCTCCCCTTTATCAACTACAGCTTCCAAGCTGTAAGTTACCATTAAAAGTAAAAACGCTAACGGCTCGAAGGTGTTAGCTTTGCTCAAATTGACCTTTCCATTCCACTCTAAAGCTAACTTCTTTGCTCTTTCCCTCACTTCTTCACTAAAACATAAACCAGTTTCCATCAACCCCTCCAACAAAGACACGCAAACCCTCCTCAAACCTAACAAGTCCATATCTTTATCGCCTTTGTTCGGACAATTCTCCACATAAAACCCCTCCATTGCATCCAAAACCATTGTCCCGGGATATGGAGCACTCTTTAAAGCACCTGGAAGCTCCATCTGGATAGCCTCCAGCTCTTTGTCGTGGTCATTTATGTATTTCCTCAATCCCCTCCAATCCATTCTCTTACAAAACTCCTTTAACTCCGGCCGAGTCACCACCGAGTCAGTCACGGGATCAATTTTGCCCAGTGTCGTTAACGGCTTCGAAGCTGATGGGTCTCCTTGTTTTGAAAAAGACGAGTGAGTTGAGCAGCGAGTGTGATCCGAAACGGGGGCAGCCACAACTGGGTGGCGAGAGGATTCGCGGGACTCGAGGAAGTGGAATCGTTGAGTGACCGAGTTTTGGAGTGCCGTGAAGTGAGATTCGAGCTCGGACCATGTTATAGAGAAAGAAGAGAGGCGCAAAGAGGTAGCTTGGAGATCATCGAAGGCTTTCTTGAGCTCACCCTTTTTGACGTCTATGAGTTCGATCGCCGATTCTATTGTTTTCAGCGATGGCGTCGCCGGAAGACTTCCAGACGACATCATTTTAAAGTTGGAATTGATTTTAACTTAATCGTTGATAAACGGCAGTGGTAATTGGTAAACGTTCTTTTATACTTGTAAATGGGCCGGTCTTTCGACCAAAGTCGACGTTGGGCCTGATTTGAGCCGCTTGAAATTTTTTAGATAGGTTATTTTAATTTAATTCAAACCAATATCTTAAATTATTTAGAGATGTTATTGTATTACAGATAATATCATATCTAGTCGAGGTGACAAATGGGTCATTCAGATCGCGTTTGGTTCGGGTTATTTCAGGTTTCGATTTAATTTAGGTATAGTCGGGTCGGGTCATTTCGGGTTTCGATTTTATTCGTGTCTATAGTAAGTCCAGTCAGTCTGAGTATCGAGTCGGATCAATATTGGATAAATTGATTTCGGGTCAGATCAAATTGAATCGTTGATTTTCGGGTTGGATCAATATACGATTAATTATTTTTGGTTTGGGTTAACTTTGGATCTCTAGGTCAATTTAGGTTAAGTTGAGTATGAGTCATACAGTGAATTATGGATATTTTTTGTAAAAAAATGTTTTTTAAAATCTTATCATTTTTGTTTCATTTCATTCAAACTCAATTATCATTTAGGGATTATAATTTAACTCAAACTCGACTATAAGGTATGTCACAGTTTGTAATATTTTTTTTTATTGATTAAGACTGAAAAGTTTATGGTACAACCAATTTGATTAAAAAATTAATTATAAGTTTTATTATCTATTAAAATTTTAAATTAGATACTAAACGTTTAATTATAAATATAATATTTTTATTAAATTTAAAAGTAATAGTAATATATTATTCATGTTTGAATAAATATTATTCTACATTTATTTATAAATGATATTATATTATTATATCATTGATAATATTTTAATTTTAAATTATAAAATAGAAATTGATATCTTTATATTGTAAAAATAAGTTGTTTATGTAATATAAAAATAAGTTATTTTATATTAAATTTAAATAATTGTATTTTTATATACAAATAAATTAAAATAATTTGTAAATTAGTCTTTAAACTTTTAAATACTTTAATTTCTTCCTTAAACTATGACTCTCATTATAAATTAGTATTTAAACTTTTGAACATTCTAATTTCATCCCCAAATTATGAATTTCATTCTAAATTAGTCCCTAAACTTTTAGATATTTCAATTTCATCCCAAATTCATCCAAATATGTAATCTATCATTTTTAGTAGTTCGGTTAACCGAAACCGTTTAGTATTAATGGTTCAATTAATTAACATGTTAAATATAACGGTTATACCAGTTAACGATTACGGTTAATGTTTTCGGGTTTTTTTAACACCCCTACTACTAGCACTACAACAAAATGGGGTTATAGCGGCATTTATAGAACAAACGCCGCTAAATACTCGTATTTTAGTGGCGTTTTTATATAAACGCCGCTAAACAATGTACTTTAGTAGCGTTTTTATACAAACACCGCTAAAGATTGTACTTTAGTGGCATTTTATACAAACGTCGCTATAGTCAAGTACTTTAGTGGCGTTTTTATACAAACGCCGTTAAAGACTCATAATTTAGTGGTGCTTTTATGAAAGCGCTGATAAAGACTTGTACTTTAGAGTCGTTTTGATATAAACGTCGCTAAAGACTCGTACTTTAGTGGTGTTTTTATACAAACGTCACTATAGACTAGTGCTTTAGTGGCATTTTGATACAAACGCTGTTAAAGACTCGTACTTTAGTGGCATTTGTTTTTATAAGCACCGCGAGTTTATAGTTTTTAAATCCCGCTCCCCTTTAACACTTTTTCATTTTCCCACTTCACCTATTTTTTCATTTTCCCACTTCACCTATTTTTTCATTCTAGCCGAAAGTTATTGGAAGTGGAGGTGGTGGAGGGAGAGGGAAGAGAGGAAGAGGGGTGAGGTGAGTTGTATTTATTCTCTCTCTTGATATTGTTGAAGAAGGGTCTTCAAACAATTTGAAGCAGAGTTTGGATTATAATTTAGAGTTTGGGGAAGAGACGATCAAAGGAAAATAAGAACCAAATGTATCTGAATATGGACTTGAACTCCCCTCACTCAATGGGCACAACTATCACCGGAGTCACCTACAATGGCGGTGTCGTCCTCGGCGCCGACTCTCGGCTAGGTTTGATGATATCTTTTCCATGTCTAGTTCTTCTTTGAAGCTTGAACCTTTGTTTTTTAAGGACCATATCACAAACAATTTGAATTATTTGATTTCCTATAAAAAGCTTGTTCTCTTTTCCATTTCTTTGTTTTTTTAAGTTGAAGCTTCAGTTCATTTTTACCTTAAAGTCTTTCTCGTTTACAGTCTTAATTTGCTTCCTAGGGAACTGTCTGTCATGTTATGTCGCTGCTTGGTTTCTGCTTTGTAACATGAAAGCTCCATCTTTTTGTGGCCGAAGGTACAGAGATCATGGTGAGGGGGAAGACTCAAATGAGGTGCATAGAGAACGCCACAAGCAGACAAGTCACATTCTCAAAGACACGAAATGGGTTGCTAAAGAAGGCTTTTGAACTATCAATTCTTTGTGATGCTGAAGTTGCCCTCATCATCTTCTCTCCCAGGGGCAAGCTCTTTGAATTTGCAAGTATCTTCTCATATATCATCATATGCCACTTTCAACTAATTACTATCAATTTCCTATTCTTTTTGGTTATAGTATTTGCAACCTAGGGTTGTTTGATTCTTGCATAGACCTACATATATACGCACAGTTAAACACATACTACAATTAGTAAGCTATAATATCTCCGTCTCGAGATTTTCTTAGTCTAAAGCAGATTTGTTTTTGTCTTGAAATTGTTTAAAGTGTCCTTCAAATGTTTCATACGAATATACAATAGATATAGGTTGTGTCCACATTATTCTTCATATGGGGTTTCCAAGAACCTAATACTATAAGATAAAAGTAAATCATTGGGTATCTCAGTGACCAAAATTATGCAGGCTTAGTATAACTAAGAAAAAGCAGAAACCTAAGTAGCATGTACCTTGTCCCAAAAGAAAACTTGTATTTCCTTGAAAACTGGTTTGCAAAATAATGGTTATTCAAGGAAATGGTACAATGTCTGGTATTATTTTATGAAGGGTACTATCCCTTTCGTCAATCTACTGATATTAGCTCTTGGGAAATCTTAGAGAGATTCTTCATTGTTCATGACACAACTCTTGGGCTAATTCATGTGCCTTATTGAGTATACAAAAACATAAAAACAGCGAAAGATCGAAGAAAAATACTTCCGGCCATTATTTTAACTGAACATTAAAACTGAGATGTTATAATCCTATTGTCGAATACGTATATACCAGATTCTACTGCTATATACTAAAAACAAAGGTTAAACACTTAAACAGATAAATGGGTGGTAGCGTAGTAGGTGGAAATGGTCCACCATCGCGTGCACCCAGTACCCTCTTGTTTAAGCTTTTAAGGTTATATATTTATATAAATTTTGGTATTTTAATAATCTATAATGTATATATTTTGATATATATGCTTGTACCATTGTATTATTTTACTCTTGCCACTGGCTTTATTTATAGTACTAAGAATTTAAAACAGAAAAGTTAATCATCCCAAACTATATATACTTGAACTTTGTCTCTTACTTTTATTCCTGTTTTGATTCGAATTATGGGGTATGATTTATTAAAAAAAAGAAGATAAATCTCCCATATGATTTATTAAAGACTGCCAATATAATGTAATGGTAGTAGAGTGGTCAACTTATTCACCTACAATGGGGAAAGGGAAAGAACGCGCGTTTAGATATTTTAGATATATATGAGTAAAACGAGTGTCATGTTGCAGGCTGCTGATTCTCAGGTTGTTTCCGACTATGTCCGCTACTTCCTTCACCAACATACGTCAGTTCTTTTTTATACTTTCTCTTATTATTTTCTTTTCTTTTTTCTCTTCTTTTTAAATTTTAATTAACTTTGCTACTTTGCCTTCCTATTGAAGTTTGTTCCCATTTGAAACTTTTGAGACATTCTTTATGGTATTAATACTTCGCTCGCATGCTAAAATTTCAAGAGCTTGTTAAAGGTTTTGTTCATCCATGAATGTGCTCATATATTCTACTCCACCTAATTGCAGTTCATAAAGCTAGTTCTCATCTCATCCCTACACACTGACTTAGCAATTGCTTCCAGTTTGTATACTCCTATGTACTAATTAGCTTTGCACTATTTGTCTACACAATGCTTTAGGAGTGGCAGAGGCAACGATTGTGGACAATCAGGTGATGTTCGAAAACCCATGTTTCTTTCCATGAAAATCTCTGTACATGGATATTCTCGTTTGTCTGAGCATAAAATTTTCCATTTTAGCGTGCGCGGCTCTAGATCATATTTCTGTCGAAACGATTTTTTCTTAAAAGGTGAAAAAATGTGAGATTTAAAAAAAAAACCACATTAATTTTTAATTATCTCTTTTTAATTTAAAAACAAATGCGATTTAAAAAACCTCTTGTTTCGAAAATTTTTGGATTTCCTTTATGATCAAAAAATACGGTTCAAAGAGTCGCCACCAATCTTTGATTAGGGTGTGATTGGGCACCCAAAAATGCTTTGTCATTTTAAATAAAAATTAATTTTAATTAAAACAACAAATTGAGGTATGCGTTACCAAAATCCGAGTTCGGGAGTCGGTTACGTGTGGGGAAGGATTAGCACCCCCACAACGCCCTAAATCGGTACCTAGTCGATTAATTAATGTCTTTGCAATGACCTTTACAAATTCGAACTTATTTTGATTTTTGATCCCATGAAACAACAAAATAGTGAATTTTACAATACTAAAAAACACTCAAATAAATTAAATTAAAATTACCGAGTCATTTTAGAAAGATAAAGAATGTTCGATTATTTACAAATATCGAGACCAGATCTTAAAGATATAACAACCTTTTCTCGATATATTTAAATAAACGAACATTTCTTTTTCTTTCGTTCCCAAATTTTAGGTGACGAATCAATTTTTTGTTTCACTTTCGGGATATACTTTCATTTTAAAATTATTAAAAGCGGACCTCAAATCAGTTATGACTGCCCACTTCAACAATTTTAAACTGAAAGGATATTACCCTTAGTCCAATTATGAATACGGTCGAGTGATGCACGTGAGGCTATCATGCATATTATGCAAAATAATATCATGTAAAAACTAATTAAATAGTATCCTATATTCAAATGAACACCTAAGTCTAAAATAAAGTATGGTGATATGGTATATACATGCATACAACGACATTGGCATACATTAGAATAAAACAAATATATACCATAAAAATACTATTAGTAACTCGATTTCATATTCAAAATTACCATAAAGGACCAGAATAAAATAAATTTAAACTAAGCATGCGAAGTAGGAATTCACTATTAAATTAAAAAAAAATACGCTAAGCGTCTAAATTGTCAAACAACCAAAATTACAAATTACATTTAAAAAAAATAAAACATAAAATAAAACATAAAAACATTCTAAGACTAACATGAAAAGTGTTCATAAATATGAAGATCAAATTAAGAAGGCACAAAAGATTCGTTCAAGGACCAAAATGAAAGTTCCGTAAATTACACAACCAATGTAAAAACAGTGCAAAAATGGCCCTAATATGTTTCTGGGCTAAGATATGAACGTTTAAAATTAAGATACGAAATCAAAAACCCAATAAAATTCAATTTAAGGACCATAAAGAAACAGATCGAAAACGGAATGACCTATCACGCAATTAACCCACTATTCCAGCCTGATGAAACGCCGCCGTTTTGGACCTGGCTAAACGACGCCGTTTGGGCGTTCTGATATATGTGATTTTAGGGTAAAATTTCTAACCTAAATCATTCTCATCATCTCCTCCAAAGACCTCAGCCGCTCTCCCTTTCTTCTTCTTCACTCACTGTCGAGACCCCAACAGAGCTTCCAAGGGTCTCACAACCTCAACCGACCACCGCAAGCCGGTGATCAAAACTAACCTCACTGTAAGACCAAAACCTAAAATAAGCAAGACCACCACACAAAACCAAGCCTTCAAACTCAAAACCCCGAACACCAACGGCGATTGAGCAAGACAAACGACCTCCAACAGTCCCTCAACTCTTCGATCTACTCTCTTCTTCTAAGGTAAATGCTTCATTATCTCTCTATTTCTATTCTATTTACTCACATAAATGTACATACAAAACAATTTGAATATAAAAAAGAAACAGAATACCTTCTGAAAATTGGATATTTCCTTGTTGTTTTCTTTCCGAAAAATGGTAGGAACCCTTACATTGATTGCTTTCGGTTTATCGGAAACAAGGTAAAGATCTAAAAAAAAAACCTTTACAAATCTTCTTTTTTTGTTATTTGATATTCTCGAATACCCTCCTTTACCAATGTTTTCCTCCCCTATTGTTGATCTCTGTTTCGAAGGCCCCCCCCCCCCGTTTTCTATCTGCTGGTCCCTTTTTGTGTTCGTTTTCTGGTTTTCCCACCTCCTTTAGTTTCCTGTCTGTGCCCCACGTTCTTGGTGGTTAATTGCTAAACATAAACCGATCTTTTACGGTTTTCTTGAATGCTCAAAATATCTCTCTATTGCTAATGGCCCACGTTTTTTCTGGTTTTTAACTTCCCAGACAAATTAAGCATCTACAGCTGCCCCTCTTTGTTCATTGTCGTGTAACGAGAATAGAGCAAAGATCAAAAGATGATCGAATTTGTCTGGTCCTGAGAATGTTACGTCAGGATAAATAAAACTTGAAAAATCTTCAAATGACGAGCCTGCTCCCTATTCCTTCAGGAAGTATAAGACTCGAACAATCTTCATAAAATGTGTCTGCTCTCTATTCATTCAGAGAGTATAAGACTTGAACAATCTTCAATAAAACGGGTCCGCTCTCTATTCCTTCAGAGAGTATAGAACTCGAAAAATCTTCCATAAACAGGTCCGCTCCCTATTCTTTCAGAGAGTACATGACTCAATCTTTAACAAACGTGTTCGCTCCCTATCCGTTCAGGGAGTATAGAACTCAATCTTCAACAAACTTGTCCGCTCCCTATTCTTTCAGAGAGTATAGGACTCAATCTTCAACGAACTTGTCCGCTCCCTATTCCTTCAGAGAGTATAGGACTCAATCTTCAACGAACTTGTCCGCTCCCTATTCATTCAGAGAGTATAGGACTCAATCTTCAAGGAACTTGTCCGCTCCCTATTCATTCAGAGAGTATAAGACTCAATCTTCAAGGAACTTGTCCGCTCCCTATTCATTCAGAGAGTATAGGACTCAATCTTCAAGGAACTTGTCCGCTCCCTATTCATTCAGAGAGTATAGGACTCAATCTTCAACGAACTTGTCCGCTCCCTATTCATTCAGAGAGTATAGGACTCAATCTTCAACGAACTTGTCCACTCCCTATTCATTCAGAGAGTATAGGACTCAATCTTCAACGAACTTGTTCGCTCCCTATTCCTTCAGAGAGTATAAGACTCAATCTTCAACAAACAAATTTGCTTCACTACTCTTTCGTGAAGGCTTATAGATGATTTGCTTCAAAGGTCAAACCTGAAAATCAAACATTATTCATCATGAA